TTCCATTTTTCCATGAACTTTTTGAAGTCCCCCTCTTATTCCTTTATCTTATTCCAGAGTCCTGGGCTGGCACTGTGGGTTAATGCGCTGGACTGCAAAGTCAGTTTGAACTGCCAGCAAAGTCGAGGGTTCAAGCTCATCACCCACTCTTCAGAAACCCTATACAGGGTGGCTATGAGTCGGAACCGAGCTTGAAGCCACTTAACAACAATAATCCATTTTCATTCTTACTGTATTTATCTATTTCCAGCACTTGGCCAGGAAAAATGAGTGTTTCAGAGATAGGAACCACGGTTATACCAGAATCTTTAAAGGGCAGGTGCCTCAAAGCATGCCTGGGAAACCTGAATAGCCTATTTCCAACCCAGTTTTTTTCCAATTTGTTATTGTGAATTGAGTGAAGGTTTACAGAGCAAATCATCAGTTTTACATTCAATAAATCATATATTTCGTTCATTACAGAGTTGCAGCCCCCTGCATGTACCAACAACAGTAAGCAGCATTTACCTCTGTTCACTTTAACTGTTACCTTCCTCCCTGTGTCTTCCGCTACCTTCGTCTTTCCACTGCTAATCTCCCTCTTTGTTGCATGTACTAGTTTTGAAATTGGGTACCACATTGCCCTACAATTATTTGTGTTAATAAGCTGCTCTTTTTTTTTTTAATGTTTTATTGTGAATTATGTGATAGTTTACATAGAAGAACATTAGTTTTACATTCATCCTGTCGTATATCGTTTCATTGCTATGGTTACAATCCGCTCCATACATCATCAACCAACCAAAGGGTATACACTACAAGCCTGCCCCCCGGTCATCAGCACAGAGCCCCTCTCTGTGTGTGTGTGTGTCTAAAGTCCCCAGCTGCTCCATCACTCCATGTCATTGTCTCTGCCTCCATCTCAGGCATCACTGTTTCTCTGGGTAGGGTCTCGCTTTCCACTCTTCTCACATGATGGTCCCAGGAACCTCCGCTCCTAGGCTGAAAAATAAGCTGCTCTTTTAAGATATGAGTTTACTCTTCAAGGATTAAAAAGTCATTTATGCTTTAGGAGCTCTGGTAGTGTAGCGGTTACGAATCGGGCTACGAACCTTAAGCTCAGCAGTTGGAAACTACCAGTTGTTCTGCGGAAGAAAGATGAGGCTTTCTGCTCCCGTAAAGATTTATAGCCTCGGAAACCCTGGACAGGGTCGCTATGAGTCGGTTCCAACTCCACAGCACATCACCACCACCACCATACTTTAGATTAAGTTGCCTCACATTTGCTCAGCTCTCTCATGAGTAGCAAGAGAACTGTCCATAACAGGCCATTAGGTGGGGATGAGAAGGAAGAAAAGGAAGGACATGGAGCAGGTGGGGAGTGTTAAGAAAGCCCGATGAACTATGGGGTGGATGAGAGAAACCTGAGCCGGTTCAGCAGCTATCTTCCTGAGACCTCAGTGGCAGTAACCATGCCTGTTCTGAAAACCTGAACCTTGTCTTAGTTTACTTGTGCCAGGCATTCCCCGGAGAACTGGAAACGAAGCTAACGATGTTCAGTTAAACAAGCCAAAATACCAAGCAAGCGAAACCAAAAGGGAACAAAAAATCCAAGTAGGTTACAATCATAGCATGTCAGGACCGAAAGAGAGCTTGAGGGTCCTCTAAATTTATCCAACCTTTTGCCTTGTGCCCTGGCTTGCCTTCCACAGCTCGTGGGTGTCCAAGCCAACTCTAGAATTTTCATGTCTTGACTCCAGGGTCTCACTGTCCCCAGAGTGACAGCTTGTCTATGTGCACCTGATAGCTTTGTGTTTGGGGTCAAAGCAAATAAAGGGCCAAACTCCAGTGCTGTTTAGTAGACTTGCAGCAGCGGATGTAGGGGAAGGAAAAACATGCTTTTCACAGGTTATTTATGCAAAGATATTGAGATTCCCTTCCCTCTTTGACTTTCTAGTGGACCACCATTGTCATTTGTCACTATGTAATAATTCAGAAATTAAGGCAAGATTTATGGTGGTCCTCCAAGCTCTGTGAGCACCAGCTAGGCTAACGTTGGCAGGTGATCTGTGTAAACAATAACGCCCAACATGTGTGAGGGAATACTTGACCACCAATCACAGAGTCACTGGACCAAAAGGAAATGGTTAATGTGCAACTGTTTCAAGAGCTAGCATATGATCAAGAGCCAGTGATACTCAGGGAGGAAGTCCAAGGTGCATTGAAGGAATTGGCAAAGAACAAGGCACCAGGAATTGATGGAATA